GAGAACAACCAAAAAAAATTTTAAAAAAAAAAAAAAAAAAAAAAAAGGCATGAAATGTGAAAATTTACCCCACTCACTTTTATTTTACTTAGTATTTATTTAATAATAAGTGTATCTCCTCTCTTCTATTTAATTGCCAAAAGACACATGTATTCACCAGCAAGAGAGAGAAAGAAGGGAGAGGGAGAATATACTCCCAATGAGGTATGGACATTCCTTTGTGGTCTTGATGCCTTCACCTATATAACATTGGGATTTAGGCACAGGGTGTCTTTCAAGCCAAAAGAAGCCAGGAATCAAACTGTAGTTAGTCATGTGGGATCCCCAGCAAGACTATGGGGCCAGCTAGGCTATAGGGCCAACCTAAAATATTTTCTCAAATGTTAATTTGCCATTTCTCTCTTCTTTTGTGAACTGCAAGTTCAAATGCCAATTATTCCATTAAAATGTTTGTTTTTCCTTATTAACTATAAATTATTTATAGACTGAAAATACCAATAGGCTGTCATATTTTACAATGTTTTCTCCTAATTATCATTTACCTTTTAAATTTACACATTTTTTAAAATTACAATATAGTTAAATACCTGAGGGGTTTTTTTTGAGAGGTTTCTGCTTTTTTAAGGGAGCATGCACTCACCAGATAGACAGAGACAGACAGAGAGACAGAAAGCAAGAAATCACCCCCCAGGGGGGATGGCCATGCCGCAATCCCTTCTCCTCCATTCTCCTCTCGGAATCTTGGGCACGCACGCACACGTACCTGGCGTGAGTTTTAAGCCACCGGGTCTGGGACACGAACTGTGGTCGACTACGTGGGAGTCCAGCGGCACAGCCATTACGCTAACTGCTGGTCCCCAATACCTGAGTTTTTTTAGTGGTATTTACCATTGATGACATAATTAGATATAAGCAGGTATGTTTTCTTTGTCACTTATACTTTTATTTGTACTCTTAAAGTTATAATCCCTACTAACTGTATGACTGAGAAATGCCAAGATTCCAGAATTCCCAAAAAAGATACCTTCTAAGACAGAAATTATAAATCCTAAATACATTTATTCATTCAAAACCCTGCAACAGCTTCCTATCACATTCAAAATAAAACCCCAACTTCTAAGAGGCTCTGCATTGTCTGGTCTCTGCTGCTCTCTCTGACCTCAATCCTTCCATCTCTGCTTAATGCCCTTCACAGGCCTCACTTGCCTTCCTATTGCTCCAAGCAGGCAGTGAAGTGAGACAACCAGAGAATGGTGGGACTAAGGCAGCTTGGCGTTGCCCAAGGTCCTTGCACTTACTGTTCTTGCTGACCAGTAGAATCTTCTCTAAGACCTTGGAATGGCTTGCTCCTCACTTCATCATCATCTCTACTCAAACATTATCTCCTCTGGGAAACCTGCCCTGACTACACTGTATGACACACTTGACCAGTTGCCCCATAGACCACCCTACCCTGTCATTACCATATGCCCTCATGCGGCTTCAGCTTTCTCATTGCATTTATCCCTACCTGACATTATGTTATATGAATTTCCTGTCTCTTCCACTAAAACGCAAGCTACATGAGAACACAGCCTTTGTCTGCCTCATTTATCAGTATGTCCAGCACTTGGTATATGCTGACTTTAAAAAGCGACTTACCGTTGTCAGAACACGCATAATAGTGTCTATGTGCCACCGTTTGGAAGGTGCATACCTAAAAAAACAATGGCACAGGGTGAAGAAATTGAAACCTGTAAACTA